CTTTTACCTAAAGAATTATTAATTCCATAAATATTTGTGATATGCTTGCCTACTGTATACCAGGCATTATGCCAGTGATTAAAAAAAAAAAAAAAGCCTAAAGAAGCAGTGATGAAAAGGACATGGTGCCTCCTTCAAGGAGCTCACCTTGGAAACAATAAGACATGTGGAAGCAAATGGAGTCATTCTAATTCAATAAGGTAAGAGCTGTTGAAGTGACTAAATGGTTTCTTTTTCCAAGAAGAAGTGACATTTGAGGTGAGTCTTCAAGGACAGGGGTAAGTTCTGAGGGCTTGCAAGGGATTTCTAGGCAGAAGCAACAGCCAAGTGCAAAGGCACCTAAGTATAAACGTATGGGTGATGTTCACCGGAGAGGTCAAATGGTGGGAAGGGTACGATCGGGTTATATTGAGGGTCTTTACGTCATGCACAAGAGCCTAGACTTTATCTTACAAGCATCAAGAAGCCAGTAGAGGTGGATGTGATCTTTTTTTTCTTCTTTAATATACCCCTTCAATGTTTTAAAAACATTCAAAACAAAACAGAGGACAACGAAGAATTAATGAGATTCCTGCATGGTGAGTGACTAGAGAATTCTGAGGGTCAACTCCATAGAATCGGAGATACTTTATGTGGTATGAGTATTGCCAAAAGGGACAAAGGTTTAACCATATTGTGGAGGTGTTCGAGAATGTCAGGGATTTTTTTTTTTTTAAACTAGTTTCCTCGCCCCCATCTGAGTGGGAGAGGAAAGGAATCCAGTTTCAGTGGTTTCTGGGCCTCCCCACCCCTCTCCAAGGTCTCACAGCATCCGGAAACTTTGTGTGGCCCCAGGACATGCGGGGTGAGCCTCTCCTCTCCCATGCATCATGGTCACTGCAGGTCCCCTGACCCACAGCTCTTGGCTTCTGTTCTGTGCCTGGCAAGAGGTCTATGCCTCATCTCCCCTCTTCTCTTTATTCTACCTTCAAACTGAAATCTGCCCGCTGCCAGGAAAAACGTCATGATTGCCATGAGCAGAGAGCTGCCTGGCTTACTCTATTAATCATATGAGCCATCTTTCCACTGGCTTTGAAGTTCTGGTTGTTGTTGAGGAAGCAGTCAATAAACAATAATTTTCCCTTTCCCTCATTTGGAGCAGGGAAAAGAAAAAGGAGATTAAATTCTTGTCCCTGTTCACGATACATCTAAATAGCTATCATCTGCTCTTTTTCTGCCTAATAGGAAGGACTTGAAGAGGTTGTATCTCTTAAAACTTCTCTCTGCCTCTCACAATACCTCTTCATTTAGCATCCTTTCCTCACCTTTATCTAATTAAGTTTATAATTCAATCAGCACATTTATTAGGTTTCTTTTATGTGTGTAGCCCTGTGCTGAGTACTCTATTTTCTTCTCAATTTCTAATTGAGAAATGCCAGCCAAGACCTTCATTCAGGGCGCCTGGGTGGCTCAGTCATTAGGCGTCTGCCTTCGGCTCAGGTCATGGTCCCAGGGTCCCGGGATCGATTCCCTGCTCAGCGGGAAGCCTGCTTCTCCCTCTCCCGCTCCCCCTGCTTGTGTTCCCTCTCTTGCTGTGTCTCTGTCAAATAAATAAATAAAATCTTAAAAAAAAAAAAAAAACCTTCATTCAGGTGCCTCTGCACGTGAAGAGACTTTTTGCCCAGAATATCCCAACTGCTACTTTCACAAATGCTCTGCTTAATGAAGAGCCCAAAAAAGATCATTTAAACCTGAAACGAATGGTTTGGGCACCTAAACTATCTGGGTTTTTTTTTTTTTTTTCTCCTTTCCTGATTGAATTCATTGACCAAATACTTGCAAAATACCTACTTAGTGCCATGCTGATACATTCTGAAGAAAATGTCATCAACAGCTTTATCAACAATACATTCTGCTCTTTAAAACAGATTTAAAATTAATAAATAATTAAAAGAATTTAAAACACTTGTTTTATTTAAATATATAATTTCTTTTAACAGTCAGGGAAACTGCAGTCTTAGTGAACAAGATGATAATGTGTGTGTTATTGTTAGTCCATGGCTCTGTGGAGAAACTCTGCAGGCATACTTTGTTTTACTTAGTGTCACTCTATTGCACTTAGCGGATACTTCGTTTCTTATAAATTGAAGGTGTGTGGCAACCCTGCATCTAGCAAGTCTATCGGCACTATTTTTAAGCGAACAACACATTTGTTCACTTCATGTCTCTGAGTCACATTTTGGTAATTCTCACAATATTTCAAACTTTTTCATTATTATTATATTCGTTATAGTGATCTGGGTGTGGAGGCTGCTTAAGATTCTCTCTCTCTCTCCTTGTACCCCTCCCCTTGCTCTCACTCTTGCTCTATCTCTCCAGAGAGAAAGGAAGAAACGAAGGAAGGAAGGAAGGAAGGAAGGAAGGAAGGAAGGAAGGAAGGAAGGAAGGAAGGAAGGAAGGAAAGAAAGAAGGAAGGAAGGAAGGAAAAGAAATCAAAAGCTAAAAATGATTAAGTTTAGTGAAGAAGGCATGTTGAAAGCTGAGATAGGCCAAAAGCTAGGTTTCCTGTGCCAGTTAGCCAAGTTGTGAAGGCAAAAGAAAAGTTCTTGAAGGAAATTAGAACTATTACTCCAGGGGCGCCTGGGTGGCTCAGTCATTAAGTGTCTGCCTTCAGCTCAGGTCATGATCCCAGGGTCCTGGGATTGAGCTCCACATGGGGCTCCTGGCTCAGCAGGGAGCCTGCCTCTCCCCCTGCTCATGCTCTCTCTTTCTGTCTGTATCTCTGTGTCTCAAATGAATAAATAAAATCTGTAACAAACAAACAAACAAACAATTACTTGAGTGAACACACAAATGATAAGAAAACAAAATAGCCTTACTGATATGGAAAAAGTTTTAGTGGTCTGGATAGATCAAACCAGCCACAACATTCCCTTAAGGCAAAGCCTTAAGAGCAAGACCCTAATTCTCTTCAATTTTATAAAGGCTGAGAGAGGTGAAGAAGCTGAATAAGAAATTTGAAGCTTGCAGTGTTTACTTCATGAAGTTTTAGGGAAGAAGCCACCTCTAGTACATAAAACTGCAAGGCAAAGCAGCAAGAACTATTGTAGAAACTGCAAACTGTCCAGAAGATCCAGCAAAGATAATTAATGAAGGTGCTACACTAAACAACAGATTTTCAATGTAGACAAAACAGCCTCAATAAGAAGAAGATGTCATCTGGGACTTTCATAGCTAGATACTAAAAGTCAATGCCTGGTTTCAAAGATTCAAAGGACAGGCTAACTCTCTTGTTAGGGTCTAATGCAGCTGGTGAATTTAAATGGAAGCCAATGCTCATTGACCATCCTGGAAATCCCAGGGCCTTTAAAAATTATGCTAAATCTACTCTGCCCGTGCTCTATAAATGGAACAACAAAGCTTGATGACAACACATCTGTTTATAACATGGCTTACTGGATATTTTAAGCCCACTGTTGAGACCTATTGCTCAGAAAAAGATTCCTTTCAAAATATTACTGCTCATTGACAAAGTACTTGGTCTCCCAAGAGCTCTGATAGAGATGTACAATAAGATTAATGTTGTTTTCATGCCTACAAACACAACTTCCATTCTGCTGCCCTTGGGTCAAGGAAATACATTTCATAAGGCTATAGCTGCCATAGATAGTGATTTCTCTGATGGATCTGGGCAAAATAAATGGAAAACCTTTTGGAAAGGACTCACCATTCTAGATGCCATTAAGGACATTCGTGATTCATGGGAAGAGGTTAAAATGTCAACAATTGCGGGGGTTTGGAAGAAGTTGATTCCAACTCTCATGGATGACTTTGAGGGGTTCAAGACTTTAGTGGAGGAAATTACTGTAGATGTGGTGGAAATGGCAAGAGAACTAGAACTAGAAGTGGAACCTGAAGATGGGACTGATTTGCAATCTGATGATAAAACTTGAGAAGTGGGTAAAATGCTATCAAATAGCATTGCTTACTATAGAGAAATCGTTCATGAAGGAAGAGTCAATTGATGTGATAAACTTCACTTTTATCTTATTTTAAGAAACTGCCCCTGCCACCCCAACCTCCAGCAACCACCACCCTGATCAGTCAGCAGCCACCAACATCACGGCAAGACCTTCCACCAGCAAAAACATGGTGACTCACTGAAAGCTCAGCTGATGGTTAGCTGTTTTGTTTTTGTTTGTTTGTTTTGTTTTTGTTTGTTTTTTAGCAATAAAGCACTTTTAAATTAAGGTAGGTACATTTTTTTTAGACATAATGATCTTGCACACTTAATATACTGTAGTATAGTGCAACCATAACTTTTATATGCACTGGAAAACCAAAAAATTCATTTGACTGTCTTGTTTGTGATATTCAGTTTATTGTGGTGGCCTGGAACCTAACCCTCACACACTCTCTCTCTCCCTCAAATAAATAAATAAATCTTAAAAAAAAAAAGTTTGCTGCATTGACGAAGAAAGGAATGAACAAATGAAGGTCATAGTGACTTGCCCAGGGTCAATACAGCAAGACAGACCATAGCCAGGTATTCTAATTTCTAGTCCAGATTACTAGCCTTCTCACAAAGACCTTGTCCTGAATTGTTCTGAATTATTGCATTGGAAGCAATTTCACAAATCAAGTCCCATTTCTCCACCCATTTTCTTTGGATGGCATATTATGCAGCAAGGAGATGTGATAGGTATAGCAACGTTTCTTTTTTCCAAGAAACACGTGCTCTCTTTTTGCTCTATTTTGAAGGGGTTTTTATGATAAACCATGCTGCTATTTAAAACCTGTAAAGCTTTTTGAGATTCTCAGAAGAAATATAAGGTGTAGGTCACAAAGAACAATTTTATCCCTTGCAATAGAATTTCCTGTTCAAAAAATGATGTTAATTTGAAAAGCTGGTATCTCCAAAGGAGCATTCTATTAGGTAGGTAATCATCATCATATTGTCAGCTGCTGTGTATACCCTTCTCTTAAGAGTGAAAAGGTAAAAAGCCACTTTGCTATGTAGAAGTTCTTTGTGTGTTTCATAAAAACCACATAAAATGTTCACAGGTTAGAGGAGTGGCTGCTGTATTTAGAAGACAAATAAGTTCACTGTCACCCCTGAGGAAGCTTAAAGATGTGATTCTCAAGGATCTTTGGTGCCATGGATGAAAATGGAATCATTATTTTTCCACTCCCCCTGCTCACGTCATTGACTCCCACCTACAGCCGGTCCACTGGTTACAAGTAGCCACGAATTGCCTTGCAGATTGTAAACAGGGTAGCCAACCAGGGCCAGCCAAAGTCCAACTCCTGGTAAGCTTTATCAGCCTTTCCTGTGTGTTTCATTTCCATTTCACACATTGGGGTGGGAGACAATCTATACTTATGCTGGTGTGTTGTGTGTCTGTCTCAGACGTGTGTGTACAGTATATTTCTTAGTTTGGGGTATATGTTTTCTTTTTTCGCCTCCTCCTCCTCCTTGTCTTTCTTCATTTATCAAGAGTGCTGTCTTAATACTTAAGTACTTCAAGGTTTTTTTGGTTTTGTTTTTTAAGAATTGCTGTTTCTGGGGCGCCTGGGTGGCTCAGTAGTTAAGCATCTGCCTTCGGCTCAGGTCATGATCCCAGGGTCCTGGGATCAAGCCCCACATCGCATCAGGCTCCCTGCTCGGCGGGAAGCCTGCTTCTCCCTCCCCACTTCCCCCTGCTTGTGTTCCTGCTTTCACTGTCTCTCTCTGTCAAATAAATAAATAAAGCCTTTAAAAAAAAAGTTAAAAAAAAAAAAGAATTGCTCTTTCTTTGGAGACAACAAAGTGCATTTTTTTCAAAGATGAAAAGGCATACTCAGACTCTTTAGGCTGTATTCATAATTGCTTTGCTTATCACTGTATAATGTTCTCATCATCATGGACCTCTTTGAGGTAATCAACTGGATTTGGGGGGAGTCTTTATTTGCAAATGAATGTGGAGAAAAGAGGGCTGTGAAATTCAGGGAAACCAATATACTGTTTCTTCCTCCTTGTCTCTCTTTAAAAATATTTCCTCTTTGGGGCGCCTGGGTGGCTCAGTCTTTAAGCGTCTGCCTTCGGCTCAGGTCATGATCCCAGGGTCCTGGGATCGAGCCCCGCATCGGGCTCCCTGCTTGGTGGGAAACCTGCTTCTCCCTCTCCCACTCCCCCTGCTTGTGTTCCCTCTCTCGCTGTGTCTCTCTCTGTCAAATAAATAAATAAAATCTTTTAAAAAAAATTTCCTCTTTCTCTTTTCCACTTTTGCCCTCCCTTCTCTCCTCCCCTCCCTTCTTTTACCTTCTTCCTCCCCATCCTCCTTCTTTTTTCTTTTTTCTTTTTTCTCTTTCTTTCTTCTCTAACCATCAACATCTCCCCGATCCTTCCTTCTGCTCAGCTTCGTTCCACCATGCCCAAAGCATTCCTGCTGCTGTGCGTTGCCCTGGTGCTATTTGGGCTTGTGCATGGAGCCACGTTGAGAAATGAAGAGAAATGGAAGTCACTCAACAACCCCAGAAACCGAGATCTGGTAAGAGCATACACTGGGACATGCTGGGCTACAGGGTGAAATTAGCACGTCTCTGGACTGCCCTCTGCTAGAGCGCAGTGGAGAGGAGGCTACCAAGTGCCAAGAAGATTCCTTAACAGGACTGGTCAAGGGCTTTGCTAGTCTCGTGGCTGGTATCCTATTGTTCTTCTGGCCAATTTGCATCTGTTTCTGTAAGGAGAAACAAATTTAGATTTGTTATACAACACATTACATTTGTAAATGATCTTACATACACATTGGCTTTATAGACTGGATTTCTCATAGATACACAAAATCAAGAGCACAGCGGGGAAATTATTTTTGCACAGTTCAGATTGATAATAAAACAGATTCTCATATGACCAACATATGCAAAGCTCAATTGCAAAGACTGAAAATTGACCTACATTCTTATCAATTTACCAGGCATTATTTTCTTGCTTTTTTTTTTTAAGATTTATTTTTAAGTAATCTCTATATGCAATGTGGGGCTTGAACCCACAACCCCAAGACCAAGAGTTGCACCTTCTACTGACTGAGCCAGCCAGTATGCCCTTCCCCCCCGCCCAGGCATTATTTTCAACATAAAGTTATCTAGGAAATAGAATTCAAAACATCAGCAAAAATTCTCTTTTAAAAATATGCCAAATACAATAAACATGCTGACATTACTATTTCAAAATACTATTTCCTTATGGAAACTGATGTAAAATTTAACAATATAGGGTTCAAACAACCAAGTAGCCCTTTGCAAGCTTCTGTGTATCCATTTCCTAAAGGAAAGCTGCAAAACTGCATCTAAAAGCTCTGGTGTAGAAGACAATGCCTGGGATCTCACTTTCAGTCAGAGAGGAGGCATGGAGCTCTGATCACTGTGAAATTCATTTTAATCTCTGACCTAAGTGGTTCAGAGGTGGTTTACAACAAACCCTCTGACTGTGATGCTATTAAATAATTGATACTCCTCTCTCAATCTCCACCAAGAATGCTAAATTATCTTGTTTAGGGTTGAAATGTCAGAAAGAAGGCAGGTAAAGAACAGTGGAGGGTGATGTAGGAAAGAATGTTAGGGTTCAAAGCCGACAGACAAGAATTCTTGAGATACCTTTGGTGCAAAAAGTGATTTTATTAAAGCACAGGGACAGGACCCGTGGGCCGAAAGAGCTGCACTGGGGTCGTGAGGAGTGGCCCATTATATACTTTCAAGGCGGGAGGGGACTAAGGATAGGATAAGTCTCTAAGGATCTTTGGAAGCAAGGTTTCCAGGATCTTGAGGGGGCTAACTATTGTTGGGAAAAGGTCATTTATTACTGTCTAATAAAACCTGAGTCCTGAGACCCTTTAGATGTATTTTGGTGGGTCATATACTTGGGGTATGATTGCTGACATGTATCTTGGGAGGTAGAGATAAAGGAAGTTTCCAAAGGAATTTTTATACATTAAAGTAGACTTACAGAATCCTGGGGGTTGGGCTAAGATTGCTTTTGCCCTTAGCAAAGTATCAACATTGAGGCAGCTGCGTCCCTAGAGGAATGTCACTCTGCCTGTTTCAAGGATTTGTCAATGGCCTGTAAGTAGTAAAGAAATTTAATAATTTTTCTTCTGCCTTTGATTCCCACATCTGAGGGGAAGAAGGAGAAGTAGTAAAAATATGTATTTCTATTTCTGGGTTTTCCACCTCCTGTCTCCTAGATTAGCCCTTAAGTCAATTCACAGACGGAAAGAGAGGGGAAAATATCTGTCTCTGAGTATTTTTTATGTTTAATTTACCTATAGCATTGAACACTTTCTTTCTCTCTTCAGTTTTTCAGAACCCTTCAGGCATATTTTAAGAGAAGAGGTCTTGATCTCGGGAGGTTTCGAAACACTTTCTTCATGAATGAGAATCCTAGACCTCTCTCTTTCCAATCAGAACTTCTTGCTTCTGCATTTGCAGATTATGAAGAGCAGAAAAACTCCTTTCCTAATTACCTCAAAGGCTGAATGTTTCCTCTGAACACAGGTAAGTTATTCCTTTATCCCCAGGATCTGTCCAATTATACAACTCAGTCATAAAGAGATTTTGAAAGTATTTATTGGAAAAATGATTTTATTTTCTCATAGAAACATGTGCTCAGTTCTGATGATATTCATCACTATTAATATTTGGATTTGGTTCTTGTATTTCATCGTGTAGTTTTAAAAAGAAATAATAATTTGGGCACCTGGGTGACTCAGTTGGTTAGGTGTCTGACTCTTGATCTCAACTCAGGTCTTGATCTCAGGGTCATGAGTTCAAGCCCCATGTTGGGACTTAAAAAAAAAAAAAGACAACTTATGATTTTTTTTCTTTTTTTTAATTATGTTAGTCACCATATAGTACATCATTAGTTTTTGATGTAGTGTTCCATGATTCATTGTTTGCCTATAACACCCAGTGCTCCATGCAATATGTGCCCCAGTTGCCCCTAGTCTTATTCTTATTACCTTAGCTTTCCTATCAAATAAATATTTACCATTAAAATAAACCAGGTATGCTGTATTCCAAGAAAATACATTGTGATTCTAGTCTATTAGCTTTTTGTTTGGCTCAATAATAAAGGGAACTGAATCATAATTAAAATCTACTCCCAGGGGCACCTGCATGGCTCAATTAGTTAAGCGTCTGCCTTCGGCTCAGGTCATGATCCCAGGGTCCTGGGATTGAGTTCTGTGTTCGTCTCCCTGCTCAGCAGGGAGCCCGCATCTCTCCCTCTCCCTCTGCTGCTCCCCCTGCTTGTGCTCTCTTGCTCTCTCTCTCAAATAAATAAATAAATCTTTAAAAAATAAAAAAATAAAAAATAAAATCTACTCACATTCTTCCACAAGCTAGGGATGGAATTCTGAGGAGGTATACCCTTGTTGCACTTTATTGTGCATGTGAAAGGGTTTTGATTATTAGTTCCTTCTTAAATGTGATTTTTTTTTAAAGATTTTATTTATTTATTAGAGAACGAGCGAGAGAGAAACAGCATGAGAGGGGGGAGGGTCAGAGGGAGAAGCAGGCTCCCCGCCGAGCCGGGAGCCCGATGCGGGACTCGATCCCAGGACTCCAGGATCATGACCTGAGCCGAAGGCAGTCGCTCAACCGACTGAGCCACCCAGGCGCCCCTAAATGTGATGATTTTTTAAAATAATGTTTCTTATTCTAACAGGAAGATACAATTTACCACGTGGCACATGCACTTCACAGCTCCTACAATGAGAAATAAGACAGAAAAAACAGAAAGATGTTAATGAAGGGTTCCCTTGACTATTATTCACACTTAGGCCCTAGGCTATTAGACACTAAAACAGAACAGTTGTTAATACTACAATGGAATATTACACAGCCATCAAAACCCCCGAAATCTTGCCATTTGCAACAACGTGGATGGAACTAGAGGGTATTATGCTGAGCGAAATAAGTCAATCAGAGAAAGACAAGTATCATATGATCTCACTGATAGAAGGAATTTGAGAAACAAGGCAGAGGATCATAGGGGAAGGGAGGGAAAAATGAAACCAGATGAAACCAGAGAGGGAGACAAACCATAAGAGACTCTTAATCTCAGGAAACAAACTGAGGGTTGCTGGTGTGGTGGGGGGGTGGGAGGGATGGCGTGGCTGGGTGATGGACACTGGGGAGGGTATGTACTATGGTGAGCGCTGTGAATTGTGTAAGACTGATGAATCATAGACCTGTACCTCTGAAACAAGTAATACATTATATGTTAAAAAAAAAAAAAAGTAGGAAGGGAAAAATGAAGAGGGGGAATCAGAGGGGGAGACAAACCATGAGAGACGATGGACTCTGAAAAACAAACTGAGGGTTCTAGAGGGGAGGGGGGTGGGGGAATGGATTAGCCTAGTGATGGGTATTAAAGAGGGCACGTTCTGCATGGAGCACTGGGTGTTATATGCAAACAATGAATCATGGAACATTACATCAAAAACTAATGATGTAGCGTATGGTGACTAACATAACATAATAAAATAAAATTAAAAAAAAAAATACCACAGTACCTGCTTCAGTATGAGACAGAATTGCATACAAGTTGGTTGTAAGCCTTGGTTTCTTCATTTATAAATTGCAGAAACTGATCTCTAGGGGCACCTGGGTGGCTCAGTCCATTAAGCGTCTGCCTTTGGCTCAGGTCATGATCCCAGGGATCGAGTCCCACATCTAGATCCCTGCTCGGCGGGGAGCCTGCTTCTCCCTCTCCACTGCCCCTGGTTATGTTCCCTCTCTTGCTCTCTCTCTCTCTGTCAAATAAATAAATAAATAACCTTAAAAAACCTAAAATCCCTCTCTGTTTCCCTCTGCCTCTCCTCCTGTACTCTCTCTCAAATAAATTAATCTTAAAAAAACAAAAACAAAAGGGTCATTGTGTTGCTTGTATAGTCTTCACTTTCTATTTCGTGATAACATTTTCTTGTTCTTTCAGGTGTCTGGCTATTTTAAAACTACAGATGAAGCTTCTTGTTAGAAAAATTCAATCATGGTTATGGCTAAACCTTTTCCCCCTCCACTTATTTGTCAATTTATAGTGATTTTATTCTACATTTCCAGATTTACATATAAGTAGATTGACCTCTGGGACAAATGTGACTTATGTGCGTATTTTTGGAGTCTTTTTTCTACTCTGTAAACCCATAAACACTGATGTAGAGCACTGCACCTATTTGTAAGAATTACAGAAACACCGCAGAGTCAGAAGAGATGATGACCTTCTAAATTACATTTCTTTTAAGCTTCTCTTTAAAACTTGTATGCTAATTACCTTTTTTTTTTTTTAAGATTTTATTTATTTATTTGACAGAGAGAGAGATAGCGAGAGCAGGAACACAAGCAGGGGGAGTGGGAGAGGGAGAAGCAGGCTTCCCGCTGAGCAGGGAGCCCGGTGTGGGACTCGATCCCAGGACCCTGGGATCATGACCTGAGCCGAAGGCAGACGCTTAACGACTGAGCCACCCAGGTGCCTGCTAATTACCTTTTATCAATAAATGTTTTTATTTGAAAGAGACTCTGCTTATTTTTACTATAGTTCATTATACGTAATAGAGATTTGGGCTTAAAATTTGTCTTTTTCCTGAAAAGAAGATGCATTCCCACTTTCAGCATATGTTATTGAGAAACCTTACAGTTTCATACCAAGGGAGAAGAAGTGATAAATATCCACAATTAAGTTGAAATGGAAAGAAAAAACCTTTGGGATTCTAGGAATTGCTAGGATCTCTAGGAGATATTACCTGCCACTATATTCAGGGGTGGACATTGTGCTACAGGAAATATCCTGGCCACAATCCAGCTCTGGCTTTTCTCCACACACGTCCTTAAGAAGGGAGAATAGAAACGGGTGGCATTCCCTTCTTTTACAACCAATCATCTCCTCTTCCTACCAGCTCAGGCTGAATTATTCTGATTCTTATATTTTCATTTGGAATGCTACTTTTACTGTATCATTATGGAGAGCTGCATCACTTTCTCTGTGATTCCTACAAAAAGAGCATTGTACTAGAATGCAAATATTGACATCCTACTAACAGTAGTCTGTACATTCCACAATAGTCTTCTGTGGCTTTTTGTGGATCATTGATACTCAATATCAATAATAAAATATTTATGCAAAAATAGGTTTCTGCATCTGGTTTAATTCTTTTTTTAGAAAAGATTTTATTTATTCTTTTGAGGGAGAGAAAGAGTATGTGCACCAACAGGGGGGAGGGGCAGAGGGAGAAGGAGAAGAAAACTCCCCGCTGAGCAGGGAGCCCAATGCAGAACTCGATCTCAGGACTCTGGGTTCATGACCTGAGCCAAAGGCAGATGCTTAACCAACTGAGCCACCCAGGCGTCCCTAATTTGTTCTAAGTAGTTGTATATGTGCCTGTTTTCCCTGGAGTGTTGTGAGGTCTTTGTGAGCAGAGATCATATCTAAGCCATTTTTATTTCTCCAGCACCTAGCACAATGCTCTGCATGTAGCAAGTGTCCAATAAATATGTCTTGAAGTGAAGGTGTGCTATTCTGCTATTATTCACACAGTAATAGAAGTTGCTTCTAGTTAACGTCAAGATTATGTTTCTTACCATTTAAAAGATATAAGTGATTACTAATGATGAGCTATTCCCATAAAAATATAAGCTATTCAGATAAAGGGTAGAATGGTAAGGAGTGTTTTACCACTGTCCAGTTCTACTCAAGACCAGTGGCTGGTTTTTCCCTTTCCCTTTTACAACCCCCACTCTGGGTGTCAATACCTCCACAAAGGGAATTCTTACGTTTCAGGGCCTTTGAAAAGGAAGAGCATCCACATGGACTTTTAGCTAGGAGCTTACACAATCTCAAGGCAAGAGCATACATCCTTCTTCTGGAAAACTCCTCACTGTTGGCAGGTAGCTGTTGATGGAAGGCCTGACTAGAGTTTCTTGATGGTGATGCTATTGGCAATTGGGGAAGGACAAGTCTCCACTTGTATGACCATTTAGCATCCCTGGTCCTCAGACACTGTGTGTCAGTCATTTCCCCACCCCTGCCCTGTTATCTTGACAACCCAAACTTCCCTACAGACATTTCTAAAATCCCACAGGGCAAGGGATAATTTTCTTGGCTGAGAGCCATTGCTAGGAAAAGAGCAGAAGTGTCATGTTTCCTCCAGTGAAAATCAATGTTTTGTATGAGATCCAGGTTCTCAAGGGGCCCATGGTAATTCTTTCCATAGGTCTCTGACAGCCTTTCAACACTGACTCTGTTCCTCTTTGATGAGTACTCCATTCTCAGGACATGACCTATTGTCCCCTATCACAGATGTAGGGGAGTCAAGAACCATCAAGGGTGTGAGGTTCTGCTCTGCTTGTAAACCGCACACTATCCTGTTACAGTTTCAGTTTCTGTCAGACACATGAGACTCTTGGGCTTTATTACTCATGGAGCTGCATGCAGCATGAGTTTTACATCCACATTGGCTCTCCTTATCCCCCAAGTATCATGGGAGCCACACGGAGGTATGTTCAAGTATATGCTGCACACAAGTGGGTTTGTGCCACAGCGGAGGAACCCCAAACTTAGGAAATCCCCACTTTTATAAGGGGCTACTAGCAACACACCCAACCTTTGCTCCAGAGGGAAACATTATATTTAGTGTACTGGTCAGAAAACAAATCTGTCCTCTGCTCCAGGGAAAGATAATTTCTCTTTCAAGGTTGTTTGTTCTACAGACATCTTTGAAAATATAGCCCAGATTGAAAGTTGTCACAAGCTTTTGCAGAAAAGTGAGAGAAATATGGAAAAATTGTCTCCCCAAAAGGGTCATACCCCATTCCGGTTCCTCCCCTTGAGGAGGAGAAAGGATGGAGTCATCTCCTCCGTGTACTCTTAATTCTATTGTTATGGCATAAATTCAATGTTCTGCTTCCTTCAGACATTCCATTTTGATTCCCAAAAGCAGTCAGAAAGTCTGAAAGGTTTCTTCTTGCTATTTTTATTACTTCTAGAACAATTCCACTTCATCTCAAGGTAATACGGATGCCTCTGACTCACCAGGGGACAAATCACTTACAAGGAAGTGGAGAAAAGAAAAACAGAAAGATTACAATTTTATAAGATATGTTCCTATAGTCTGAGTTGTAAAAGAACTTTCGTGTCTGGGGCGCCTGGGTGGCTCAGTCGTTAAGCGTCTGCCTTCGGCTCAGGTCATGATCCCGGGGTCCTGGGATCGAGCCCCGCATCGGGCTCCCTGCTCTGCGGGAAGCCTGCTTCTCCCTCTCCCACTCCCCCTGCTTGTGTTCCCTCTTTCACTGTCTCTCTCTGTCAAAATAAATAAAATCTTAAAAAAAAAAAAAAAGAACTTCGTGTACATAAGGTGTTCCATAGCAGTGTTTAAAACCAAATTCAAACTTTAAAGTAAATTTTAAAGATCTTATTGGTTTTATTCAATGAACCATAAATTGGGCATCATCTAACAAATAGGAGCTCCAAAGAGCTGTACATGATGAAAGACTTTTGTAGCTAGAAGGTGGGACAAGGAAGTTACTAGCAGAGAGTGGACTGTTTGTGGCAAGGTCACCTCCCTTTAGGAGACAGCAGAGGTCTATCATGCAGTGAGGTCACCTCACTAGTGCTGCTCAGGTAATTACAGGTTGACAGGCTTAAGATTTCACTCCTGAGAGAGGTTGAAACTGTAACTAAGTTAAATATTAAGTCTTGGTTTTGTGATGTGGGTTTAGCACAAGTGATTCCATTTGGGGTTTGTTGTCTTTTTATCAACAGCATAAAAGCTATCCTTCCACCCCATGCTCCCTGTTCTCTATTCTCCCCAACGTGAATCTATAGCTTCACAATTGTTATTCCATATTCCAGGGAGCTAATAATGAAACAAGTTGGTCTAAGCCATCTGGGTCTTAGGAGAGAGTTCTTATGAGGTGAGCATCTTTCCTGCCCATGATTCCCTTCTTTTCCCCCTAGGAAGTTAGGACCAGACCCTTGACTTCCTCTTAGATATAGTTCCCTGACTGCCTGGAGAAATTCAGGGGAGAATTTCCCTATAAATGATGTCTTTTGAGACCTTAATCCAACACACCCTGCTAGCCTCCATATTTTATACCCAGGTAGAGTGCTGAGGATTCTTCATCATGAGAAAGGGGAGGGCTTCTAGCTGTGAGGTATTTTTCTCTCACTTGGAAGTCTTGGGGTCGTGGCTTTCGTTCTGCCATCCTACTGTTGCTTATCCTCATCCGGATTATAACAAAGAGGTACTAATGGCTAAGTGACAGGCTCCTTGTAACTTGTCTTTAAACTTAGCCTTATGTCAAGATGCATTCCCCATACCTCAACACTCTTGCCCATTTCCAGTGCACTTTCAATTCCATCCAATTTAATTCATAAATGTGTTTTGAGCACAGATTACTAGAGTTCACAAAGATGCATCAGGTAGTACTGTTCTCGGGATGTTGACAGATAGTGTCTCTAGAATAGGACAGTGGAGAAATAGTAATAATAGAAATATTAATACAAGGTAAAATACAGACCACAGGAGTGTTCAGGAGGTAAACAATAGTTCCATTTAGGGGAGGCTATATACCATATTAATTCCACGCATGGGGTTTGGGGTCAGATAGACCAGGGTTCACATCCTGGCTCTGCTCCTTATTAGATACAGGACTTTGGCTTTAAAAATAGCAACATCTGGGGGCGCCTGGGTGGCTCAGTCCTTAAGCGTCTGCCTTGGCTCAGGTCATGATCCCAGGGTCCTGGGATGGAGCCCCACATCTGGCTCCCTGCTCTGCGGGAAGCCTGCTTCTCCCTCTCCTGCTCCCCCTACTTGTGTTCCCTCTCTCGCTGTGTCTCTGTCAAATAATAATAAAAAAAGAATAGCAATATCTGTTTTTAAGGATTATTTTGGGCAATGTATGTAATACGCATAAGCCAGTACGCGTCCTATAGTAAATGAGCAAGAGTGTATGGTAATCATATCAAGCATTTGATTCTTTCTAAAAGTTTGTTAAGAAAAGAAGAAAACTTGGGTAAGCCTGATAGGTGGAACAAGAAGTCCTGATAAACTTATTTACAGACTGAGAAGGAGCCCTGAGGAAAGGGAGAGCTTGAGGATTCATGGAAGACGGGAAAACTGATGGTGCCATTGGTGGAGGAGATGAGATTTAAAGCACAAATTGGGAGAGGACTTTCGCCTTCTGTGGCAGGGGAACAACGTAAAGTGAAACATGTACGAGGCAGTGCAGATGGTTACATTAAGAAAATAATCACTACAGCAAAGTTCAAATTAATTTAAAGAACAAACATTCAGAAAAGGAAATGAATTGGGAGTAAGAATCATAATGAAGTATTGAGGCAAACGATCTAGATTAAGGAAAATTTCTTTAAAGCATTTTTTTTTCTTTTCTTTTTCTTTCTTTCTTCCTTCCTTCCTTCCTTCCTTCTTTCTTTTCTTTTCTTTTCTTTTCTTTCTTTTCTTTTCTTTTCTTCTCTTTTCTTTTCTTTTCTTCTTTTCTTTCCTTCTTCCTCTCCTTTCCTTTCCTTTCCTTTTCTTCTCTTCTCTTCTCTTTTCTTTTCTTTTCTTTCTTCTTTTCTTTCCTTCTTCCTCTCCTTTCCTTTCCTTTCCTTTCCTTTTCTTCTCTTCTCTTCTCTTCTCTTTTCTTTTCTTTTCTTTTCTTTTCTTTCTTCTTTTCTTTCCTTCTTCCTCTCCTTTCCTTTCCTTTCTTTTCCTTTCCTTTCCTTTTCTTCTCTTCTCTTCTCTTCTCTTCTCTTTTCTTTTCTTTTCTTTTCTTTCTTCTTTTCTTTCCTTCTTCCTTTCCTTTCCTTTCCTTTCCTTTCCTTTTCTTCTCTTCTCTTCTCTTCTCTTCTCTTTTCTTTTCTTTTCTTTTCTTTCTTCTTTTCTTTCCTTCTTCCTCTCCTTTCCTTTCCTTTCCTGTCCTGTCCTGTCCTGTCCTGTCCTGTTTTTAACTCCCCAATCATCTTAAGTAGGAGGCGTAAACCAGCATAGCAGGCGAGGTCCAGAGCTCCGGACTCCGCCCAGAAGATCCCGCTCCGCCGCCTGGAAGGAAGCCGGACCAGATGCTCCCGCGGAACCCGAGCGCAGCGGCCGCAGCGCCGGCCGGGCCCGTTTCCCAGGAGAACGCCGGCTCGCTTCTCGCGGCGCCCCGGAGCAGGATAAAATCTTGCTTTTCCGGTTCTCTGTCCTGGTTCGTGGTGCTGTGTCTCCGCACCCTGCAGACATGTCGGGTTTCAGCCCGGAGCTCATCGACTACCTGGAAGGGAAGATCTCCTTTGAGGAGTTCGAAAGGCGGAGAGAAGAGAGAAAAACCCGCGAGAAGAAAGTGAGGCGATGCTAGGCCAGGATTCTCCTCACTGTCTTGTCGCCCTAATACACCTAGATGTGGGGGACTTATATGGCCCCATTCGCTGTGATGGGGCGGACCGGAACTCCCAGCAGATTCTTCCCCTTCTTCCCCAAGCCCCGGTTCTCACCTCTCATCCTTGTGTTAAGCTCCTCTTTAAAAACTCCCCCCGCCAAAAAGCTTGTTTCTGTGGTAACCTCTGTCTCTCTCTCCCCTTCTCTCCCCACCGCCGTCCTCCCTCACCCCGTCAGAGTTTCTGATTCTAGTCCGAGCTTTGCCACTAGGTTTCTTTTGTGTTCGGGTGAGCAACTCACTCTCTTCTTTAGGCGGCAGTTTATTTCTCAACCGAGGGCCCGTCTCTGGGGCGTCTCCCAGTGGTATTGATGTAATCTTCTACAAAAAGGCGAATTTTCTTGTCTGATAACAAAATCTTCACTCGCATAATTTTTCATACTTTAGAATATCTGAACTTTCCTTATCTTCTCACTCACATGAAGTCCGAGGGAAAATAAAAATAATCTCACCCTTTGAAATTAACTGGGTTCTCTCCTAATTCATGCAGCTAATAATGATCCATCTCTTTTCACTTAAAAAGCTAGGATACAATGTGTAGATTCATGAAATCATCAAGGTATTTTAAATTATTTTTTATAAGTGACTGATGCAGACAGACGTGGGGGATGAGATCTAAGTACTCTGAAATGCTTTGACTGTTCAGGTTCGGATTCCACATACTGTATGTGTTTGTAGAGCTCGAGTTTTTTAGAAAGAAAATGAGGGAAATGCCCTATTCCCAACTGGAGAGAACTAAATCTGCATTATTTTTTGGAATCATTAATTTTCAATCACAGAGTCTTCAGGAAAAAGGAAAGTTATCAGCTGAAGAAAATCCAAATGACTCTGAAGTTCCATCATCATCAGGAATTGACTCCACCAAATCGCGAGACAAAGATGTCAATGAAGGTATGTTAAAATCATTTGCCACCTGCATTAAATATTAAGAGTACCTAATAATTTAATGAAAACATTGTTTTTTTCATTGCAGTGGTATTCTGTTGTTGATTACCTGGTTTATCAGCATAGTGCTCAATAATTTGTGGAGTTATTGAATATGGTGATGGGTAGTTTTGTGGGTTATTTTTGTGGAAAAGTGTTTATTTTTATTTTTTAAAAGATTTATTTATTTTAGAGCAAGCATGTGCATGTGCCACTTGGGGGTAGGGGCTGAGGGAGAGAGAGAATCCTCAGGCAGATTCCCCACTGAGCGCAGAGGCCCACGCCACCCATCCCAGGACCCTGAAATCATGACCTGAGCCAAAATCAAGAGTCAGTTGCTTAACCGGCTGAGCTGCACAGGTGCCCTTTGGAAAGGTGTTTCAGATGGGAGCCTTTTTGGGGTCATTGTTTTTTAAATTGGCTCTTTCAGTTACTAATTACTTCCAGACTGTACTCCCCCAAATTGTAATGGTTTGTACTTCTATACAAAGTGACTTCCAAACCACTGCTTTAGTTATAGGAGATAAGATAGAAATGCCAGAGTGGAAGTCCCGTTGGCTGCCCAGATGGGTCCTCACACACAGTAGGTATCTTGGTATGCCGCCTCATTCTAGAATCCAGTCCTCAGCTCTGCATGTCCAGATACTAGATTTGGTTAGTCCCAAACTCATTAAAGCCATCAGAGTCTAATTGATGAACTAGTATGCAAATTCATTAATTTCCAGTGATTCATATACCTTTCTAGTGATCAGAATACTGATAATAGTTCCTAGTATTCATCTGCCCATGACAAGTTACGTGGGATACTGAACCATCAATTAGAATGTAGCTTTGTGTATAGTGTCTGATTGAGAACTAAATTGAACTTTCTTGTTCTTGGGAGTAGTAGTAGAGTCTTCCCCCCCCCCCCCCCCCCATGCAGCTCTCTTTACATAGAGAATGCATACTAATAGGATAGACAGAAAACAAGCTTTATTCCTGCCTTCTTCGATCAAGTGGAGAAGAAGGGGCAAAAAGGAGAGCAAATTGGGGTTACTACGGTTTCTTACCTTGTCAGGCAGGTGGGGTGGAAAAGAGGACTGAAATTGTTCTAATAACTTGTGGGTCTTATCTGCCTAGGGGAGGAATAGCTCTTCCATCATCAGGTCTTTGAGGGGTAACTGTAGTAGAAGCACCGTTGGGTGCCTCCCAGTCTTGGTTGACTAAAGCTGCCCCTGAGAAGTGGCCATCAGGCCCTCCCTAGAAAAGGGGATTAACTGAGTCGATTCTTGCTCATCAGGAGCAGTAGGCATCATGTATTAGATTGCCTCAGCTCAAATAATCCCATCAGTCCTTTTAAGATATAAAACTTCCCATTTCCCAGGAAGGAATCATCCCAGAGCTCTATCAGGACCCTTGGTGAGTGTGCACATATATTCAAAACAACAGAAGGGTCAGTTTTGAACAAGTTTGACAAAGTCTGCTAATTGGAATATGTGGCCACTGGAATTGTCTTTTTTCTCCTATGCATTACTGAGTATCACTGTTAAATTCTTGCTCTTGAGTACCTTTCCTACACATCATGCAAATAGGGCCTTCTTTTAATTTCACTTTCAGTTCATTATTGCTGATAAAAAAACTACAGTTAATTTTTGTATATTGACCTTGAATCCAGGAACCTGGCTTAATTCATGTATTCTGGCAGTTTGTATGTACATTCTTTTGGATCTTCTATATACATGATCACATCTGTGAATAATGACAGTTTTATTTCATCCTTTCCATCTCTGTGCCTTTTCTCTTCTCTTTTACATTATCCAGGACCTCTAGCAAAATGTTGAAAGGAGTGGTGATAACATCCTTGTCTCATTCCCAGTAACTGAATAATTCACCATTAACTGTGTGGAAAATTTTTTTGTAGATACTGCTTATCAAATTAAAGCTATTCCCTTCCATTTCTAGATGACTTAGAATTTTTATTAGGAATGATAAATTTATTATTTTTTTATTTATTATTAGGAATTGGATTTTATCAAATGCTTCTCCTTATCAAGATGATCATATGATTTTTTTTCCTTTCTGTTACTGGAATAAATTTTATTGATTGGCAGTGTTATATTTTACACATTTCTTTTTATATTTATTTTGGATGTTCATAATTCTTAAGATGATTGTTATGATTTCATGAGAATGACTATTTGTTGCTCAGAATTTGTGGGTTTTTAAAAAATTGTGTCCTTCCTTAAACATATTAACTGTCTGTTTTATCCAACATCCTTAATGTGTCTTTCTTCAGGAGAAATGTCAGATGGAGTCAGTAAGTCAGTTCACAAGGTCTTTGCTTCCATGCTTGGAGAGAATGAAGATGATGAGGAGGAAGAGGAAGAAGAGGAGGAGGAGGAAGAAGAAACACCTGAGCAACCCACTGCGGGTGATGTGTTTGTACTGGAGATGGTTCTCAATCGTGAAACCAAGAAAATGATGAAAGTAAATATTTATTTTAGTATTTATAAATGGAAGGTAAAAATGTGACATAGTAATTGAAAAAGGAATCTTTAAATTATACATATATTTGGAAAGAATTCAAACTGTAAGGAAGGACATAGGAGACAACTGTTACTGGTTTCCTATGTTTCATCTTAGAGATTTTTAAAAAATGCAAAACCTTAATTATGCATGTGTCAGAATGTACTGTGGTTTTGCTATTAAAAGGTCCATATTATGGGGCGCCTGGGTGGCTCAGTCATTAAGCATCTGCCTTCGGCTCAGGTCATGATCCCAGGGTCCTGGGATCGAGCCCCACATCAGACTCCCTGCTTGGCGGGAAGCTTGCTTCTCCCTCTCCCACTCTCCCTGCTTGTGTTCCCTCTCTCGCTGTCTCTCTCTCTGTCAAAAAATAAATAAAGTCTTTAAAAAAAATAAATAAAAGGTCCATATTATAACTTGATATGTTTTTTTTAAGATTTATTTATTAGTGAGAGAGAGAATGCACACATGAGTGAGAGCAAGGGTGGGTGGGTGGGGGAGTGGGGAGGGAGAGGATCTCAAGCGGACTCCCTGCTGAGCACGGAGCTCCACACAGGGCTCCATCTCATGACCAACCCTGAGATCATGACCTGAGCCGAAAGCAAGAGTTAGACACTTAACTGACTTAAATATCCAGGTGCCCCAATGTAACTTGATATTTTTTTAATCAAGTTTATTCTGAGTAGATAAATTTGAAGGAAGGAGAATCTTCAGTAGGTTATATTATAAGAAGTTTCCTGGCACATAAGTCCATTTTGCAGCATCAGGTTCTACATTTGTTATTTATTCTAATTAGTAATTAGTGATTCCTGACCATACTGGTTTTTGCTTTCTTCATATATTTTATTGTGCTTTGAACTTCCTACTGTAGGAAGTTTGTTTTTGTTTTTTAGTTTTCTGAGGTATTTCTTTTTGGAGAATATTTTAGAATAATTTCTTTCCTGAGATTAATTTTAGACTTTTTCCTGAAATACAGACTTGAATGTTAATGAGTCAGTATTGAAGTTTTTAGTCCTTAGTTCCCAGTTTAGAATATTAAGAAGTTTTAAAAAGAAATTTCATTTTCATTATCTTCTGCATTTATTAATTTGGTTGGAATTGAAATCTAAAATATTACTATATTTCAGCTAAATGTTTTTTGTTGGTTTTTTTTTTTTCTATACAGGAGAAAAGGCCTCGAAGTAAACTTCCCAGAGCTCTGAGGGGTCT